CGTGATCTCGCGACGGCGATTTTATATACGTGAAACTGCACTTGATGCAGTTTTAACGATCTAACTTGCTGACGAATTCGATCGTTCGTCAGCATTGTCGCGTAAAAAGTGAATTAGGTTTTAATTTTCGCTGCGCGATTTATCCGGTGTCTCGCATGAGCCGGAAACTGAATATTAGATATCTTAATCTGATATGCAATAGATATTTTCTTATATTTTATTAATATATATATATTTTATTATTAATAATTGGTTGTGGTTCTTTGGACCCACAACAGCCTATGTACCGGAAGCAAAATTCTGGGCGGGAAATTTTGAAATGGTCATAGGCGTAATTTGTTGGTTCCCAATCTGGGTGATCAACAAATTGTATCCATTTCTTCCGTCTTTCCGGATCTTTGGAAACCTGAAGGAATATTTTGTTACAAAGTTTTATCATTTTTAAACGTCAAATCATTTGTTTAGAACATAACGCTCTACATAAGCATAAAAAAGGCATCTGAAAGCAGCGTTTCCGAAGCATTGTTAATTTTATTTACTTACATGTGAAAAGTTATAGATATATTTTTGGATTTCAATTTTGATCGACCACAAATTTTGCAACTACCCATTTTTTAAAATAATTACAATATAAAAGGTCTGTTCTTTTTAGCTGAACTAGTGTAGCCAGTTCAGTTAAAAAAACAGACCTAAAGTCAATTTGGGTTCACTCATGTGTCAAGTGTCAATACATGGAGGCAGCCATATTAGTTTTTCTGCCCGACGATAGCGCACCATGCGTTAAATCTGTGCGAAAAGTGGCCTGTATTTCGTCATATCCGTTACACTACCAAGCATTGGCCGCGTTCAGCAGACTCAACAGTTGTAGATTTTCCGCTGAATCTCGACTGTTAATTAGTTGGTTCTGAAAGTAAGAACCAATCACGTTCGATTGCTACTAAGCGGTTTGTTCTGCTGAACGCGCCCATTGTCTCCATTACCTAATGCTCTCTCCAGGTCCTCCATGCTCGGCGAGCACACACGGACATGTGACATCAGCGATTTCGCTTGTGTGGGTAT